GGGACTCGATCCAGGGACTCCAGGATCATGACCTGAGCCGAAGGCAGTCGCTTAACCAACTGAGCCACCCAGGCACCCGTTTTAGTTCTTTACATATTAACTCATTCCACCCTTACAAGAGCCTTATAAAATAGGTCCTCGATTATCCTAGTTTTCCAAATGGGGAAACTGAGGCAAAAGAGTTTGGGTATCTCATCCAAGGTCACACAGCTGATGGTTATCAGAGATAGAATCTTATTTATTTATTTTACAGATAGAGACATAGTAAGAGAGGGAACACAAGCAAGGGGAGTGGGAGAGGGAGAAGCAGCCTTCCCGCCGAGCAGGGAGCCCGATGCGGGGCTCGATCCCAGGACCCTGGGATCATGACCTGAGCCGAAGGCAGACGCTTAACAACTGAGCTACTCAGGCGCCCCTCAGAGACAGAATTTGAGCCTAGGGAGTCTGACCCTAGAGCTGAGTTTGTCAACCGCAGCACTGTTGACATTTTGGGCCAGATAATTCTTTGTTGTGGGGGGCTGTCCTGTGTGTTGTACGATGATTAGCAGCATCCCTGGCCTCTACCCACTAGATGCCAGTAGCACCCCCACACCCCATGGTTGTGACAACTAAAACCGTCTCCAGGGGTCCTGGGATCAAGCCCCACACTGGGCTCTGCACTCAGCGTGGAGTCTGCTTCTCCCTCTCCCTCTGCGCCTCCTTCCCCCACTTGTGCATGCACTCTCTCTCTCTCTCTCAAATAAATAAATCAATCTTAAAAAAAAAGAGAGTCCCCAGACAGCGAGTGCCCTATGTCTCCTGGTGGGCATTTCCCTGTTGAGAAGCACTGCTCTGAAGCCCGTGCTGCGCTATCTCTGAACACACTTCCTCTGTAGGGGAATCAAGAGCCCCGCTTCATCATGGAGAAGGAGTAAGTGCTAGCAAAGGACAGAAGCAGAGTGATCAGAGGTGGAGCAGGAAGTTGAGAAGCTGAATGTTGTAGAAAACAAGGAGCAAGGAATGCATTAATAATTACAGGGGTGCCTCAGAGGTGTGGAGGGGTAGAAGCCATGATATGAGGAAGGAAGGTCCATGTTCCCAGCTGTTGGCTCTGAAGGAAGACAGAAGGTTGGTTAACATTCGGGGGCAATGAACTATCTATTGTGCACTGTCCAGGAAGGTAGCCACTAGCTATATGTGCCTGTTTAGAATTAAAGTTAATTAAAATGAGAAATTCAGTTCCTCAGTCACATGAGCCACATTTAAACTTTCTGGTCAAGGTGATACCTGATTTCTTCAGTGTATAGTTACTATCTTTCCTTGCAACTGATCAGAAATCAATGGGGAGACATTTACGATTATGCAAGTATCCTGCTCCTGGTGGAAATTTCCTCCTCGATGTAGCATCCATGGGTGATTCTTGCCTGAACCAGTCTTTACCATGATGGCTGCAATCCTATATAGTACATCTGTAGTTGTATTTCTTCCCCCCTGGCAGACACTAGGCACAGAGAGGTTGTTGACGTGACAGACTGGGGTAGAGTTCACTGTCAGTCAAGGAGAGATGGTATAGTGCCACTCATTTGAATAGTGGTTGGTTCACTTTGAAATGTTTGCTTCCTTATACAGCCTAGCGATACTCAGATAAAGAGGACTCCCTTTTGTCTATTTCAAAGTGCTTAACATCACTGATTCCCATCATCTGTAATAGGGAATAATAATTTTTACATCGCGTGTGTGTTCTGATGATTGAGTGAATTGATGTAAAAGTAGTTGACACAGGACAAGGGATGGTTTCCTTCTCCCCTGAGAAGGTGGAAGTGGCCCCATCGGGAGCAGGGAGACACACCTGGTACAGAGGGCAGTGTTGGCAGGTCGGACGGAGCTTAGGTGATCTGGGGGCAGGTGCCTGCTCAGGGATGAAGACTGCCATCCTGTCCCTGGAGTCGGGTGTTAGAGGAGGCGACGACACTGCACATTGCCTTCAAGGGACAACCAGCTCTCTGATAAGGTAAGATGGCAGAAAGAGGGAGGACCAACCAGAGTGGAAGGAACTCTGTGCCCGTGGAATTTTTCCTCTGTCTATAAAAACGCATGGAGGGGGGACACCAGAGAGAAACCGAGTGGATGGAGTGGATGGATTCAGGGTGAATGATAGATGCTATGGTCATATTAGAAGACATGCCGGAAAGATCAACCCAGCTCATGGAACCAGACATGGGGTTGATGTGACCACCAGGCAGGGACGCCTCAGAGGTGTGCAGGTTGAAAATGTGCTGAGGGCTGTCCCCAACTGGGGTACGGTTGTGGCTGTCCTTGCCAGTACAAGCCTCCCGAGGGGCTCAGAGCCATGGACTCCAGTAGAGTCAGCCCTTCCCTGGAGTTCAGGCCCCTCCTTAGCCCTCACACAGGGCTTGAGCAGGTGCCTATTGTTTCAGGAGCCAGTGACCTTTGAGGATGTGGCTGTGTACTTCACCCAGAATCAGTGGGCCAGCCTGGACCCCATGCAGAGGGCCCTGTACCTAGAGGTGATGCTGGAGAATTATGCAAACATAACTTCCTTGGGTAAGTCCTTCCTTGTCCCTGAACCAGCTCTGTCCTAAGGGCCCCTGGCTTCCTCCTTGGTGGATCCGGGTCTCTCATATCCCCAGGACTGGTGCACCATGAGCCGAGCTCCCTAATCCCCTGTTTTGGGAGTAGCTAATGGAGAAAGATCTAGGCTCACTTTGGTTTTCAGCAGGATTTGCCTCTTCCCTGTTTCCTGATGGGGACTCTCCTGAGAGGGGTTTTTGCTCTGGGCACAGACAGCTGAGAGGGTTCCTGGATCCTCCACTCTTCTAGTTCCCTGGAGTCCTGGGCTCCATCTGTCCTGTGTGAGAGTCTCCTAGGACCCCCTGTATGCATCTCTAATGACAGTAGGAGCTGTCTGTCTTCTCTGATAGAGCCAGAGTAAGCCTCCTCTTGAGCAAAACAATTTGAACCTTCCTTAGAACCCCAGATTCTTTCCACACTGAGCTCACTTAGTGTCCTGGGATGTCAAATTGTTCACCTGGCAAAGCAGAGGGTGGGCTGAGGGGGTCAGCAGGGACTCTTCTCAGCTTCCTGTTCCTTTTCTTTCTCCTTCAGCAGCATTGCCATTCCCCAAACCAGATCTGATACTCCAGCTGGAGCAAGGGGAAGCACCATGGGACCTGGATCCCTGGACACCCCTTGAGGGAGAGGCCCTGGAAGGTGTCCACACAGGTAAGCAGGAGAACTTACCACCTTCCTCTTTGCCTTGGCCTCCTCCTGTCTTTTAATGATTCAACATGAAAAAGGTTTTGCTTCTGTCATACCAGTTCTTAGGATGAAGATGTTCACTCTCATTCAGAAAAGTGACCCTTGATAGAGCTTCAGCTCCATACCGAAAAGGCCCATCGAAAATTTCATTTTCTGTTATTTTTCTTTGCAAACCTAGAGGATTTCAAAAATGCATAGTGAAAATAGGCTTTTGGGGGTCAATTTAGGAATATAAACACAATGTAGTAAGAGCTTGTTTCTTATTTTTAAAGATTTATGTATTTATGTATGTATTTATTATTTGAGCGAGAGAGAAGGGGGGAGGGGCAGAGGGAGAGACAGTCTTTAGCAGACTCTGCACTGAGCACGGAGCCTGATGCGGGGCTTGATCCCACGACCCCAAGATCATGACTGGAGCTGAAACCAAGAGTTGATGCTCAACCAGCTGAGCCACACAGCACCCCAGAGCTTGTTTCTGTAAGAACATTTTGTGTATGTGGGTGTGTATGAAACTGTACATGGGAAGAGAGTTTTTATGAATTCCTAAACACTATCAATTAGCTTTTGAAAGAAAGCCTCTTTATTTATTGGGAACGAATGGTTTCCTTTTCTGAAAGGTACAGAATTGAGGTGAATGAGAACCATCCAGAGATTGGGTGTTTAGCCTTCTCATTCAGTTGGCCCTGTTCTCATGCTCTCTCCATCCCTTATGTTGTTCAGAGTCTTATAAACCAAAGGCTTCTTCCTAATTCAATCCACTTCCGTCCTCGTCAGTGCCTTTGTGCTGACTCAGCACTTCCTGTCATTTTTTTTTTTTTAAGATTTTATTTATTTATTTGAGAGAGAGAGCACAAGCAGGGGGAGGGATAGAGGGAGAAGTAGGCTCCCCGCCGAGCAGGGAGCCCAACTCAGGGCTCGATCCCAGGACCCTGAGATCATGACCTGAGCCAAAGGGAGATACTTAACCAACGGAGCCACCTAGCACCCCACTTCCCACCATCTTGATGAGAAACCTTTCCCCGCTGACCACCTGCTGTGATGTTTCCCTTTGCCATAGCTGTGCATGGTCTATTTAGTCTGCCAATGGCTTTAGGCCAGTGCTGTCCAATAGGACACTGTCTAGTGATGGAAATGTTCCATATCTGTGCTGCCCAATATGGTAGCCATTGTCCTCATCAGTTCTTGAACTGTGGCTAGTTCAAACAAGGAACTGAATTTTAAATTATGTTCCATTTTCATTAAATTTAAGTAGCCACATCTCAGTCGGTTAAGTGTCTGCCTTCGGCTCAGGTCATGATCTCAGTCTGGGATCGAGCCCCACGTCAGGCTCCCTGCTGAGCGGGGAGTCTGCTTCTCCCTCTCCCTCTGCCCCTCCCTCTGTTCATGCTCTTGCTCACGCTCTCTCTTTCAAATAAATAAATAAAATCTTTAAACAGCCAAAAAAATAAAAATAAAAAAAAAATTTAAGTAGCCACAGGTGTCTAGGGGCTGCCTTATGGGCAATGCAGCTTAAAGCAAGTACACGAACAGTCTCCACCTGCCTTTTTAGCTTCTAGATCAGTGGTTTACAATTTCAGTGAGCATCAGAATCTCGTGAGAGGCTTGTTAGAACATGGACTTGCTGGATACCACCCCAGAGGTTCTAATTCAACAGCACTGGGGTGGGACCCAGGAATTTGCATTACTAGCAGGTTCCCAGGTGATGGTGGTCCGGGGACCACACTTTGAGGACTACTGTCCTTGAGAATCTAAAGCCATACCTTTTAAACTCTGGATTGCAACTCATCAATGAGTTGTGCTCAGCATTTAAAAATTAGTCTGGGGCTCCTGGCTGGCTCAGTGGGTAGAGCATGTGGACTCTTGATCTCAGGGTCATGAGTTTGAGCCCCACATTGGGTATAGAGATTACTTGAGATAAATAAATAAATAAAATTTGAAAAATTATGTAGTTGTGAAAAACCTAGTTCTTCTAATAGAGAAGACTCAGTTAAAAAAAAAAAAACTAGTCTGGACTACACTAGACTTAAATAGACCAAAATAGTATAAAATCTGCCATAAATGCATCAAAATGCATCACTCTCTTTTTTTTTTTTTTTAAGTAAACTCTACCTTTCTAGCTTCAGAACCTCTGTTTTCTTTTTATCATACTAGGTGGTAAAAACAAGACTGAGAGTGAGGAGCAAAGCCCAAGACTAAACATTTCTAAAGACTCAGCGGCCCATAGACTGATGGCGGAGGGGCTGCTCACAGAAGCTCCCCAGCACCCTCACCTTAAGGACAACTTAGGCAGGCCACAGCCGTGTGACGCAGGGGAGAAACCAAACCAAGGAGGTTTCACGGACTTGCTGGTCCAGGACTACAGATCCCCCGTCATCAAAAGGGAGGAGGCAGGCAGGAAGCCGGAAGGAAGCACCGGTGTCAGCACCCACCTCCTGTCAAAGCAGGGCCTCCCTGGAGGACCGGCGTTTTACAAATGTGGTGAGTGTGGCCGATATTTCAGCCAACATTCAGACCTTCTGCAGCATCAGAGGATTCACACTGATGACAAGCCCTACAAGTGCAGAGAGTGCGGGAAAGCCTTCAGGTATAACTCAAAACTCTCCCGACACCAGAAAACCCACACCGGGGAGAAGCCTTACTCGTGTCAGGAGTGTGGACAAGCCTTCGGTCAAAATTCCCACCTCCTTCAGCACCAGAAACTCCACAGTGGAGAGAAGCCTTTCGGATGTCAGGACTGTGGGAAAACCTTCAGCTACAACTCAAAACTCATCCGGCATCAGCGAATCCACACCGGGGAGAAACCCTTTCAGTGTAAGGACTGTGGGAAGGCTTTCCGGTGTAGCTATGACCGAATCGTCCATGAGCGCACCCACACGGGGGAGAAGCCCTACGAGTGTCAGGAGTGCAGGAAAAGTTTCAGTTCAAATTCAGTCCTCATCCAGCACCAGCGCATCCACAGCGGGGAGAAGCCCTACACGTGTCAGGAGTGCGGGAAGGCCTTCCGCCGGAGCTCCGTGTTTCTCCAGCACCAGAGGCTCCACACTGGGGAGAAGCTCTACAAATGCAAAGAGTGCTGGAAAACGTTCAGCTGTAGCTCCCGCTTTACAGTGCACCAGCGCATCCACACCGGGGAGAAGCCCTATGGCTGCCAGGAGTGCGGGAAGGCCTTCAATCAGAAGGTCACCCTGGTCCAGCATCAGCGGCTCCACACTGGGGAGAGGCCTTACGAGTGCAAGGTGTGCGGGAAAGCCTTCAAGTGGAGCGCAAGTTTCATTCAGCACCAGAAGTTGCATGCTCGCAAGAAGGCCACCCAAGTGACAGGGCCAGCCACGGTTGGGCCCCGCTGCCCCACTTCCGGCCGCCCCCCTCTGCCTGCCCAGCACGAGCGCTCTGCCCCCTCTGGGCCAGCGGCCGCCCCGTCTTCCCCGCACCCCACGCTCCTTCCTCCCTCCCTGCCTCTCTTTGTGCTGCTCCCCTCGTCTGAAATGGCCAGTTCTTCCCCTGTTCAAATAGTGCATTGCTTTCAGGATCTCACTTCCGCTGGGAGCCTGAATCCTTTGTCCCACTCCCCATGAGCTCCCTCATGTGCTCGACCACCCACCCACCTAGAGTTACCAGTTTCCCCGGGCTCCTGACCATGCCTGTGTTTGTCTTCTGGGCCCGTGGAGTCATTATTGTTTTCCCAACTCCATTTATGTTCTCACGTGTAAGAACCATGTTTGACTCCTCTCTTCCATCCCCTGGGTGGGAAATGGTAGGAGTTGTCCTTTATGGTGTCCAGTTTGGGCCTGTATCCATCAGTCTGCACCTGCCTTCTCTACTAGACTTGGTAGAGTTTACAGAACACTTTGGGGCTTAGGGGTATGGCATTCCAATGACATGGCCTGTTGTGATTCAAGAAATATGGAAGGAGGTAAGCAGAGAAAGTATCCAGTGATGGCTTTCAGGAATTAAGGAGGGCCATTTGGTGGGGCAGTAGCAAGGCTCACCGTGTGGAATCAGAGCCCAGGACTTATTACCTTGATAATGACCATGATGAGGATCCTGTGTAACTAAGCAAGAGACCAAGGAAATAACCAGTAAAAAGAATATGAAGTGATGAGTCAGCATTGATAGCAAGAATGTAAAATCATGTCTCTAAACTTGGTTGGAAGGGGATGTGGCTTTTCTGTTTGGGTTCCTTTTCTATTCCTGTCCACATCCTTGTTTAATTTCAGTGCCCACTCAAACACGTAGGTACGAAAGTGATTTGGGCCCATGCAGTAGAGGGCAGGTGCCTGGGTGTAACCATCTCTCAATACACATGGAGTGAACCTGTTGGCAACACACTGTTGGCGAGCCTCTGAGGGAGGGAGAGAAATCTGACCCTGACTTGCTGTAGCTCTTGCCTCAGAGAGTTCATAACTAATCATACACACACTCGGGTGTGTTCTCACACCTACTCCACGTCCTCTCTGATTAAATCTGAATTTTTGAGTCCTGGTACTTTTAAGTTAATTTTATAATGAACTACTTTGATAACACCAAGAAATGTGTATGGACACTAATCTTTCTTTTAAGATTTTATTTATTTATTTATTTAGAGTGTGCATGAGCTGGGCAGGGTGGGGGGTGTGGCAGGGCAGAGGGAGAGGAAAAGGGAGAATCACAAATCATAAGCAGACTCTGTGCGGAGCGCTAGTCAGATGCAGGGCTCCATCTCATAACCCTGAGATCATTACGTGAGCCGACATCAAGAGTCCCACACTCAACCGACTGTCGAGTGTGGCCCCCTGTTGGTGGGCACTAATCTTACCAGATGTTACGGTGCCACTGGTTTGGCCATACTTTGCATCCAGTGGTATGGGCCCTGATCCTTCTCACAATCACTGCTTCAGGACAGTGTAGCAACATGGGAAGGTACTTTAAGTAGTTAAGCAGGAATACAGCACTAAGGAAAAGATATGCACACTGTTATGATAACACCATACAATTATGTCTGCAAGCAAGGGCATAAAGAAATATTTTGGTTTTGGCTTTGGTTAGGTTTATCAAGATACACCTTATAGCCTTTACCCTTTTAAAGTAGACGGTTTGGTGAGTTTTGACAAATGAATACAGATGTGCAATCAAGATAAAATTTCCATCACCCTCAGCATAGGGAGAAATTTAAATGCTTTGTGGGATGTTGGAGATTTTTCTTTATTTTCTTCCTTGACAAGGTTTGTATAATACATAGAATTCAGGAGAAGAAAAGGCAGAAACCAAACTTACCTTCCCAGCTATAGTCAGAGCTTCCAGACTGCAAAATGCAAAGATCCCTCATCTAGAATCACTGTTTAGAAAAGCAGTCAAAATGTAGGAAAATGACAATGACTGTGGTTTCTTTGTCATTATTTCTCTCTCACACACACATGAGATATATATAAACATCCTATTTATTTCCCACAAACACCATTCAACAGGGCCTCAGCGTTTCTGGGAGGATTATAGCAAGGAACGGGGTGGGCGGGGTGGTGGTGAGAGGCTCTGAAGCTAGCCAGACTTCAGAAAAGCAGAACTTTTAAATGTAGTTTAAGATGAGAAGAAAGCAAGGAGTGTAGGGAAAAATAAATATCAGCTCTGGGCTGAAAAATGGCTTTCGATTTCTCACAGCCCTAGATTTATGGGTTTCTGATGATGATGACTGTTATTTTCTTTTATTTCTTCCTTTATTAATTCAACACGCATGTAGGGTTCCCCCCATTGTCGCACAAATGTGCAATAAAGCCTCCACAGCACTTGGTAGGTGCAAAAAGATGAATGATGTGCCATTCTTTTTAATGCAGGGACCAGTGTTGCAAGGTTGTCTGGCACTTAGTAGTCACTTAGATGTTTTTTGACAAGGGTCATGTGTAGCTCACAGAAAGGACAGATGTGTAAAAATAAACTCATACATTACTTAAAATCCAATGTAGAGTTCTTCCAAGAGTTTTGTTTTCTCTGAAAGTGAAATGACTGTAGACATACTGACTCCTCCCTCCCTCCCAAACTTACTAGTTTAACACGAGCAAGAGGACTGCCCACTTCCTTCAGGAAAGGGATATGGGTATCATGTTACCGGAATTGTTTAGTTTTGAGACTTTTGCCTTTATCAGTGAGTTGGCTATGTTATTTAGGACCCTTTAAAAATAACAGAAACCTATTTCAATGAATGTAAGTACACTTAATTTTAAGGATTCCTATGTGTAGCCTGGCACCAAGGGCAAGAATGCAGCAGGAGATCTGGAGCCTGGAAAACCCAAGCGGGAATAACAGGCAGTCTCTGCTCTTTCTCCACTTTTTTTCTTCTTAAAATTTGATTTATTTATTTGAGAGAGAGAATGATAGCAAGAGCAGGGGGTAGAGGGAAAAGCAGGCTCCCTGGTGAGCAGGGAGCCCGACGTGGGGCTCGATCCCAGGACCTTGGGATCATGACCTGAGCTGAAGGCAGACAGTTAACTGACTGAGCCACCCAAGCGCTCCTCTTTCTTCACTTCTGATTCCTCTCCCCTCTTCGCGGTACTGCTCGCTCTGTCCCTAGGCACACAGCAGAGTTTGCCGTGGGTTTCATGTTTACAACTCCATCCAGGGAGCAGCCCAAACGATCTTCCAGACTGTGGCACATTCCTGGGAGAGAGAATCTGATCTGCCCAGTTTAGGTGAGGTGTTCACTTGTCTATTCTCCCCTGGCTGAGGGGTTAGATCACATAGTGTGAATGAGGCTGCTGGGGTCCCACTCTGGTAAGGGGGAGTTAACTGGGCTGATCAGACACCCAAAAGGTATCTCGCGGACTTCTGAGATCACAACCTTTCTCTTGTTTCTATTATTCCAGGTCTCCTGGCAACTAAGATAACTGAGGAGAAGCTTCAGGTATTTTTTTCCCAATGCCTGGAAGCTTTTAGGAATTTAGCTTTGACAGCCCTCTGTGGGAGGTGTTGATCGTCCTCCTTGGTTCACAGTAAGCTCTCAGTCTGTGCATTCAGATCTTTTGTTGATGACTTGTGACTGGCTAGTCTTCAGGTGGAAGAGCTGGTGGTGTTATGGAAAGTGAGGTTATGGTCCCCTCTGATTTCCAGATGCTCTGTTTGGGGTAAACAGGCACTTCTGGCCATGGGTTGAATGAGGGTAAATCTCTGTGGCTCTTGGAACTTTTTCTTTGGGGTCTTTGTATATAGCCCACTCAGCAGCTGCAACGCTGGTTCCCTGGTTAGAGCTCTCCAACTGGTTCATTTCTTGTTATAGTTCTTGATTTTCCTTGTTTTTCCACAGCCACTCCAACATGGAAGTTGGCTGCTGATAAAAACAATATGGCTGCATGATTTCTCCTTTAATCTAGCTACCACTGCCATGCCTCCCGAAGTAATAGGCCTCCAGCAGGTACTCCTTCCATCTCCCTTAACCGATCCTACCCTAGTCCTCATCCCCTGAAGCTGAGATTTCTAAGTAGCACCGTCAGAGAGCTCATTGTGTACACTCTCTGTATCCTTTACTGTAACAGAGATCGGCATGCAGTGGGCAGACCTCCTCCTACAGTCGTCTAAACTGTAATGTGCTCAGCTGTCCTCAGTGTTTATAGTGTGAAATCTGGCTAATTCTCTAGTTTCCGGCCTCGTCCTCAGGTTAGCACTCAGTATGTGAAGTCTGGCCCTATTAAGACCTCAGAGCTTGGACCACAGACTCCACACTATCATTTTTACCAGTCCAGTCCCTGGACTGGGTTCCAGGAATAGTGCGGGCTTAGGAGATGCAAACAGCTGTCTCCCTGTATGACGTGCCCTGCAGACCAAGAAGTCTGGCTTTTCCATCACAGTTGCACGTGGGACCCCCAAACATTTGCGTCGTTCCTGGCCCTGCTGCGGCCCCATCTGCAGCCAGCTGCTGAGGTCTGTGCAGGCAGGGTTGCAACCAGACCGTCGATACCGCCGCTAGACAGCCGCAACACTGACACCTGCTGCGAAAGGGCGCGGCTTTGCAAGCGGGGCGAGGGAGCGTCCTGGACCAGCGCACCACCGAGAGTGAAACCTCCAGGCTTCCTAGAAGGGAAGGCGGGCTCCCGCGGTGCTTCCGGCTCATCGCTGGTTGGTGGAGCCCGGGCGCTCCCGTGGGAGGGGAACTCGGTTGCGGGTGCTCTGGGTGCCCTAGAGCTGCTGCTCTGAAGCGATGCTGCTTGGCCCCTGAAAGGTCTGGCCAGCCTTGACTTGAAAGTGCCTGGCCGAGGAGGGCCGTTACCTGCTCCCGTGCCCCGGCCGCGGAGCGGGTTCTTTGGTTCTCGTGCGCACCTGCCTCCGGCCCGCCTTCCTATTGCGGCTGGAGGTGTTGGCTGGCGTCGCCTGCTTCCCGGAGGTCCGAGCGGGTCTGCGCCCACTGCCACCCAGAGGCGTACTTGAGCATCTTTTTCCAGCTCTGATCCGCGGCCGAGCCGCCACCTGCATCTTGTCCCGTAGCCCTTCTCGGTCCAGGCGTCCTCTGCCCTCTTTCTCTCCGGAGGCGGCCTCTCTTAGTCATGGTGTCAAAGATGAACAAAGTCGGACAGGTTTTAATCAGTAATAATTATTGCAGGAGGGAAAAGAGTCCAGGGTGAACTGGACGCAGTTTTGACTGGTACAGAAGTGACTGGACCTTTTAAAGGGAGAATGGAGGAGGAGGGAGCGGGGTGAGCGGAGGCTCCGTAGAGTTAGGGGAACTCACGTGAAACCCATATGGGTTTGCTGACCAAGCTTAGGGAAGTTTGGCTCCTACCCTCCTCCAGAGACTGGGAGACAGGGACCCTGTCTTCAGGTGTTGGCTGGAACAAACAGTAAATTCTTTTGGCAGCCCTGAATTTTCAGACACTCTAAGTGGGGCTAGGGTCATCTTTGGGATGTGGCCCCTTGAGATGTGGCCTTGAGCTATTAATGTTTTGTTGGTCTTTACAGGCCAAGGTTAAGGCTTAGTAGAGAAAGGGCTCAGGAGAGCCTGGCTAGAGTTTGGCCAAGGACAGAATCTTTGTCAATGGTAAGGTCACTGAACACATTCAGTAAAGACTATTTTCTCCTCGAACCCAAGCAGTGTAGTGGTTTATTTTGAGAAGACTTGTTCCTTGCCAGCAAGTGACTGGAAAATAAACCAAGTAATTATAACTGTGAGTGAGGGTAAGGGCCAGGCTGCCCTGGTGTGGTAGGATAGTCATTGTTCTGAGTCCAGGAGTCCAAGGATGGTGGGGAGAGATGGGGGAGTAATGCACTTATGGGCTGCAAGAGAGGGGCAATCTCACTCGAAAGTCTTCTGTCTTAGGCTCTTCCTTTTCCAAAATCAGGGAGCCGAGCGGGAAACTGGGACTCAGCAGCTGTCCTCCAGAAAGTGTGGTCTTAGGTGATCCTGATAACCTTTTTTAGATGAGCTCTCAGAGAAGTCCATACAGGACTCAGGCCTGGCACGGCTCCCCCTTGCTACGCAGTTATGGAAGGTGTATATGTGTGTCTTTGCCCATGAGGGTGTATTTGTTTGGGGAAAGTGG